GATTGATAAACACATACAGACAGATACTTTAGATAGACAGGCAGGCACATACATTCAGACAGAGAGATAGACATATACAGACAGACAAGAAACAGATACATACAGACAGACGAACACATACAGACAGATAGATAGACAGGCAGACAGATGAAGACAAAAAAAGGCTTCAGTAATCACCAGTCACATTTACATCAAAAGGTCATGGGGACGACCTCGACCTGTTCTGGGAATTGTTCTGCATGACCTCACGTCTGACTAATATCTCTGTATCGTGGAAAAACACTCTGCAAAAAATCTATAATGGATCAACAAAATGACCTATGTTATTTTTTTTTTTCGATAGAAATTAGTATAAGTAATGAATGACTTTTTCTTTCACAATAGTTGCGATAATGATGAACACACACACACACACACACACAAATATAAGAACTCATACAAGATGGTCTGTTAAGTGACGATGGACTGAAAAAAATATAAATAAAATACCTTTTTTATACCACAGACTTTTTACAGCTACAGAAGAAAGAAAAAAAATTGGAAATAAAGTAATTTGGCCGGTGTGTCGAAGAGTAAGCGTCCATTTTCCGATCATTTACTAGAACACATTTCCGGTTTAATATTTTCCTATCTCATTCCTACCATTCATTCCTTCCTTGGGTTGAGTCGGCTTGGGTTGGGTTGGGTTGATTTGGGTTGGGTTGATGTGATGGGGTGTGTGTGTGTGTGTTTGTGTGTGTGTGTTTGTGTGTGTGTGTGTGTGTGTGTGTGTGTGTGTGTGTATGTATGTGTGTATAAAGAGAAAAACATCTAACATTAACAGCATCAGCATCATCTCTCTACATAACGACTAACACAAGGAACATTAACATAATCATAAAACACCAAAATAAACAACTTTAAGAAAACAAGAAAAAACAGACAGAAACAGAGAGAGAGACTAAAAACACAACGATGAAAGAAAATCTAATACGTACGAACAAAAAAATATTCTAAAGTTACTATAAGACACTTAGCAGGATTAGTGCATTCAACTTCACTGTGACATAATAACTTGGCAGGATTAGTATAAAGCTAACATGTGGCATAATAACTCGGCAGGATTATGATACGTGTTTAACTTCACTGTGACATAATAACTTGGCAGGATTAGTATACAAATTTAACTTCACTGTGACATAATAACTTGGCAGGATTATGATACGTATTTAACTTCACTGTGACATAATAACTCGGCAGGATTAGTATACAAATTTAACTTCACTGTGGCATAATAACTCGGCAGGATTATTATACGTATTTAACTTCACTGTGACATAATAACTCGGCAGGATTATGATACGTATTTAACTTCACTGTGACATAATAACTCGGCAGGATTATGATACGTATTTAACTTCACTGTGACATAATAACTCGGCAGGATTATGATACGTATTTAACTTCACTGTGACATAATAATTGGGCAGGATTATGATACGTATTTAACTTCACTGTGACATAATAACTCGGCAGGATTATGATACGTATTTAACTTCACTGTGACATAACCATAAGGGGGTCGTGTCATTTCTATGACATTTTAGTAAATTTGAGGATTTTGGATAACTCGAGGTGAAACTCTGGCAGGAGGAGGGGGCGTGTGTTGTTGAGAGACAGAAGGCGTGGGATAGGAGACAGGGAGGAGGATAGAGGCATGGGGAGACAGGGGAGAAGGGCAGGGGCATGCTGAGGAGATAAGTGGGATGAGGATGAGGCGTGGGATAGGGGACAGGAGCGTGGGGTGGGAGACAGGAGGAGGATAGGAGGCATGGGGTGAGAGACAGGGGAGAAGGGCAGGGCATGTGGTAGAAGATAGAGCTGGAGGGACAGAGGCGTGGGGTAGGAGACAGGAGGAGGATAGAGGCATGGGGTAGGAGACAGGAGAAGGGCAGGGGCATGTGGTAGAAGATAGACTGGAGGGGGACAGAGGCGTGGGGTAGGAGACAGAAGGCGTGGGGTAGGAGACAGGAGGCGTGGGGTAGGAGACAGGAGGCGTGGGGGTGTTCCGCTTTAAGCCAGGAGAGTGAGTCATGACTGGAGACGTCTTGGGGAGGTGTGGAGAGCCGCCTGCCACCACGGATATCCTGCCACCACGGATATCCTACCGCCACGGATATCCTGCCGCCACGGATATCCTGCCACCAAGGATATCCTGCCACCAAGGATATTCTTCCACCACGGATATCCTGCCACCACGGATATCCTGCCACCACGGATATCCTGCCGCCACGGATATCCTGCCGCCACGGATATCCTGCCACCACGGATATCCTGCCGCCACGGATATCACCAGGATATCCTCTCCCAGATATACCATCCAACACGGAACTCCTCACCACTATCTGCCATCCACATATCCTATCCACACTCTCCACATATCCTACCATCCACATATCCTACCACCAACACCCTCCTACCATCCACATATCTACACCCACATATCACACACCCTACCATCACATATCCTACCATCACATATCCTGCCATCCACATATCCTACCATCACATATCCTCCATCACATATCCTACCATCCCACATATACCATCCACATATCCTACCATCCACATATCCCTACCATCACATATCCTACCATCCACCATCACTACACCACATACATCTACCATCACATATCCCTACCATCCACATCCCTACCATCCACATATCCTACCATCCACACATCCTACCATCCACATATCCTACCATCCACATATCCCTACCATCCACATATCCTGCCATCACAGCTTTCAGGCACAGGATAGTTTATCACTAAAGTATATCCTGCTTTATGCTTTTTTTTGTTTTTGTTTTGTTTTTTGTTTGTTTTGTGTTTTGTCTTTTTTTGTTTTTTTTTGTGTTTTGATGTTTTTGTGTTTTTTATCCTTTTTTTTTTTTTTTTTTTTTTTGTTTTTGTTTTTTGTCTTTTTTTTTTTTTTTTTTTTTTGTTACTCAGATAATCTTCTCTTACCGAAGCTTATATACAGTGTCCATATGAATGCGTTTAGACACTTAGGGCTGTAACACCTTATAGCACTATCTTCCCTCCCTCTATAAAAGTAAACTCCCACGGAAGCTGATAAAACCCAGTTTTAACCTCAGGGTGTACTAAAGATTACCTCAGGTGTACCTAAAGTTACCTAGGGTGTACTAAAAGTTACCCAGAATTAATCACAAGTTACCTCAAGGAATTGTCTCAGGATTATCTCCAAAATTATTGCCTAAAATTTACAGGTGTCCTAAAGTTACCTCAAGGTCGCCAAAAAAGTTACCTCAGGGTATCCTAAAGCTACATCAGGGTGTCCTAAAGTTACATCAGGGGTGTCCTAAAACTTACTCAGGGTGTCCTAAAGTGGTATAAGGTATCAAGTCACAGCTCAAGTCTGTGGTGTGTTTATATTGTACTATAGGCGGCGTTTAAAATCTCATTCTCAGTTAGGTTGGGTTGGGTTGGAGGGCTGGGTTGGGTTGAGGTTGGGTTGGGTTGGCAGCTTAGCTTGGCTTGGCTTGGGTTGGGTTGCTGGGTTGGGTTGGGTTGGGTTAAGTGAGGGGTTATGTATCTTGACCTCAGTAGCTTTGTTGAGAGAGAATATGACTACACCAACGTTACATCCTTGTACTAAAAAAAAAATATCCTCTCACTCGATTCTCACCTCCAGGGATCGAACCGAGGTCCTGAGTTTGTACAGGTGAGTCGGAGGTGAAGAAGAGGGACTCATCGAACTCATTAGCGGCCAGGTTATCCCTCAAGAACTCCAGGTAGAGGATGTCCCGAGGCTCCTTCCCGTATCCGAAGTGACCGTACTCGTTCTCCACCTGTGACACAACACAAGTCCGTTATATGGAGGGTTCATATCTAACGGAACCTCAATTTAACGGACTTCCTTATCCATACAGTCCGTTAAATGGAGGCTTCATATATAATGGTAACTATATAATAGTTATAATCTGTTATATGGAAGTTTTATACCTAACCTAATGGAACCTCGCTTTAACGGATTTACTTATCCATAAAGTCCGTTATATGGAGGATTCATATCTAACGAAACCTTGATTTAACGGATTCCTTATCCATAAAGTCCGCTGAATGGAGGTTCCACTGTATACAAATAAGGAGAGTAAAACAATAATAATAATAATAATAATAATAATAATAATAATAATAATAATAATAATAAGAGTGATTTATTAGTTAAGACAATCATACTAAGATAATGATGACAATAATAATGACAATGATATATGTATATTTCTACCTCCCCTGGCCCTGTTAGTCTCACCTGGACAGCGATGATGGCGCCTCCTCGAGAGAATTGAAGATCCACCAACTTCGGCAGTAGCTATCGAAGAAGGCAGCAGCGGGGGTCTGAAGCCCTCATAGTATGTCCTTACCTGTGCATGGTGTAATACGGAGGAGGAAACTGTTGTAGGAAGGGAAGAGGGGTTACTGAAGGGAAGGTGTGGGTTACTGAAGGAAGGGGTGGGTTACTGAAGGGAAGGGTGGGGTTACTGAAGGGAAGGGTGTGGGTTACTGAAGGGAAGGGGTACATTAAAGGAAAAGGGTTACTGAAGGAGGGTTACTGAAGGAAGGGTGTGGGTTACTGGAAGGGAAGGGGTGGGCTATTGAAGGGAAGGGTATGGGTTACTGAAGGGAAGGGTGTGAGTTACTGAAGGGAAGGGTGTCGATTACTAAAGGGAAGGGTGTGGGTTACTGAAGGGAAGGGTGTGGGTTACTGAAGGGAAGGGTGTGGGTTACTGAAGGGAAGGGTATGGGTTACTCAGGTGTGGGGGGGTGTCAGGTGTGAGTTACAGGAGTGAGGGAGAAGCTACGTCTCCCCTAAGAGAAAAATTTTAATGTGAGAAGTATTGAGACAACAAATCCACTTCCGGAAAAAAGACGAGATGTAATAGTGTTCAGTTCCCTCCTCTCCCTTCCCCTTCCCTCTTTTTCCTCCCCTCCCTCTCCTTTCCCTCTCTCCCGCACCTCCCTATCCTCTTTACCCTCTCCCCCTCCCTCCCCTCTCTATTTTACCCCACAGAGGTATCGAACCCGTGAATTCACCAACAGAGCAGGACCCACGGGCTGAACCAACCACTGTGCTGACGATCAAGCTAAGTGTGAGAGTAGGAGAGAAAGATCAGATGTGGTAAGGTAGGCTTAGTTAGCAGTGGAGTCACAGGAGGTAATTGGGTAGTTGTGGTAGCGTTTATTTCCTCCTCGACGTAAACCATGTCCGGCAACCCCCGTCTACGTCCCTCTGGCAACCCCGTCTACGACCCTCCTTGCAGCTCTGGTTTAAAGACGACTTAGCTCATGCTGTAGTCAACCTTCTATACGCTCTGTTCATCATTACAGATACAAAAATCTTACCTACAAACCCCAGATCCTAACTAATTACTCCAAGGATTATATAATTATGACTACAAAATCTCACCAATAAATACAAAGTCTTATCTACTATAATAACAAGTTTCCTAATTACTATACAATTACAATACAGAGATAAAGTTACAAAAACAAGAATGATAACAACAGAGAGAGAGTAAACTTTAAATTATAATAAATGACAAGCGATTATTCATGTAAAGAGAATCAACACACGTAACACTCTGGCAACACACACAGGGAGGGGAGGAGGGGGGTAGGGATAAAATGCAAACAGAGCATCAGGGCCATACACACACACACACACACACACACACACACACACACACACACACACACACAAACACACACACACACACACACACACTGACCAGGGCCGTGACGTCTAGGCCAACCTTCACGGGAGATGACGTTCGTTGTTATTGTTTTATCAGCCTTCCTTGCCCACGTCTTGTACAACAGTCCTTCCGTGTGTAGGCAAGAAAAGTCACCTGGCGATTCACCTTCCCTATTTCACCTGAAGATTAATAACCCTAACCTAACCTAACCTAACCTAACCTTTACATGTGGTCATAGAACTTGTCTTACAATTATCATAAGGGACCCCAAGGATACACTCAGTTGTCTCAGAAACGTGTTTGGTAAAGCTCATATTTCTAGGATGTATCCCAAAGGAGTCTGAGATTTAGGCCACCTGATCATTATTACTGTAGAGAGAGTAACACGGAGGGTAGTGAAAGTCAGAGGTCAGGGGAGGTGTGAGGCGAGGTCAGTATAGAGGTGTGGTGGTAGAGAGAGGGTGAGGCGAGGTCAGTGGAGGTGTGGTGGAGGGTGAGGCGAGGTCAGTGTGGAGGTATGAGGCGAGGAGGGAGGGTGAAGCGAGGTCAGTGGAGGTGTGGTGGAGGGTGAGGCGAGGTCAGTGGAGGTGTGGTGGAGGTATGAGGTGAGGAGGGAGGGTGAAGCGAGGTCAGTGGAGGTGTGGTGGAGGTATGAGGCGAGGAGGGAGAGTGAAGCGAGGTCAGTGGAGGTGTGGTGGAGGGTGAGGCGAGTCAGTGGAGTGTGAGGGAGAGTGAAGCGAGGTCAGTGGAGGTGTGGTGGAGGGTGAGGCGAGAGGTCAAGGAGATTCAGGCGACAGGCACCTTTACCACGCCCCGACACCTTCCCTCCCTCTGTATATTGATGATGGGGACAGCATGGGGCAGTGTTTACCGGTAGGACAATGCCAGGTCATTAACAAGGCATCCGGAGGTTCCCATTATGGCCCCAGAGGTCAAGGACGGGGCCTTTACTCTGTCCGTGTCCTTCGTCATATGTAACTGTCTTGTCCTTCACTGTCTAGCCGCGTGCCATTGACCCTATAGGATGCTCTTATCCCGATATCCTTCAGTGTGTGTTTTTATCCTACAATATTTACTTAATCCTTAACCAACATTACGTACTTTTGGAAGTTGAAGACGTGAGAAATATGTTTAGTGACGAATGTTTATTATCTCTGGGAGTTAAAGAACTTTTTTTTTCTCCTGAGATTTGATATTTACATTAATTTAAATATTGTGTTTGGTATATGAAAGGAATCTGATTTAGTTAAGTTATACAGACAGGTGAACACAAGACAGGTGTTATTACTAAGGCTGAAGATATGTCATGGGCTGTGGCAGGTTATGTGAGATCGGGAAGACACTGTGGAAGGAAGTTCTAGTAAGTGTATACAGGAATTATGGTAGGAAGAGTGTCTGTTAGTTTGGAATATTAACAACTAAGGTAAGTGTTCTCGTAGGCTGTTGGTTTGTCGCGAGGTGGTGGAACTTCTGAGTGTAGGTTGTCAGGGCGGAACAGAGACCAGGGGAGTATTTTTTTTTTTAAGAACAATGAGAGCTATGAGGCGTCCCCGTGAGAGTATATGGCATAAAGAAATATAAATTGATTCCTTCCATAAACTATAATTCTGTAACAAGTATAATCAAAATATGATCAAACGGTCCCTGGTCCACGGCTTTATAGACGAATTTCTTTGGAGTAATTTTGGTTAAAGTCTAATAACATTTGGTAAAGTTAATCCATAAATTATGAAGTGTGATGGATGGCTGCAATGACAGACAGACTCATCTTCTGTACCCCTCTACTCGGTCGGTGGCGGGGATGATAAAGTTTGTCAGAAATATTGTTAGTTTTCGGAGATTCGTTTTCAATAGATATTTACGATGACCACAACCCCTCTCTAATACACATCTCATCCCTCTCACCAGAATAAAACACCTCTCATACGGGTATACTTATATCCCTCTCACCTGGGCATGCCACCAAAATCCCACTCGGAACAGATGTAGGGTCCTGGTCTAAGGATGACGAAGAGGTCTTCCTCCTGCGCCATCTGGACGAAGGATCTCACGTCAAGGAAAGGCGACATGCTCTCTCCTAGGTCTCCAAAGTCGTACACACCTTGACGCGGCTCATGTAAGTTCCATGGTACATACCTACGGCAGGAGAGGTGGAGGAGAGGTGTTGAATACGGTTAAATACAGTAAAAAATCTATTTAACGGACAATATAGAGATGAAAGTCCGTTATATCGAAGGTCCGTTAAATATGAGCTGTCTACCCCCATCTAAAGGAACACATGGAGAGAGAAGTCTATGATATGGAGGTTTCACTGTAGGGAGTAAATAAAATATAACATCTGAAGGTGTTTTATCCCCTAACACACTAACACTCTAACACACACACACTAACACTCTAACACACACACACTAACACTCTAACACACACACTAACACTCTAACACACACACACACACTAACACACTCACCAACACCCACCAACACTCTAACACACACACACACACACACACACCAACACACTACACACACACACACTAACACACCACACACACACACTAACACACCAACACACACACACACACTAACACACTAACACACACACACCAACACACCAACACACACACTAACACACACACTAACACACTAACACACACACACACACACACTAACACACTAACACACTAATACTCTAACACACACACTAACACACTCACGTCTCCACAGCGTTGAGCCCAGCAGCCCTAAGCTTGCGTAAAGTGTCCCTCCAGTAGGCGGGATGGACACGGAAGTAGTGAAAGGCGCCGGAGAGGATGAGAATGTCCTTGTTATTGAGAGTAAAAGTGTCCCCCTCAGCTACCAAGGGCGCCTCCACCACGCCACTAGGAACATAATACTCGTACAAGGTCATGCCAGCGCTGCCCTGAAGGATGACAAAGGAACTCATTATGTTACACGAATGATAAAAAAAATTCTTAGTAAAAATTATAAACTTTGTGTCTATATTGTTATCTCTGGGTTAAGATGATGTTGGAAATAATTAGTTTGTCTTTATATCAGGTACATTAAGTCATCTTGTATATGATTTACCCCTTTTACGATAGTTTAACCCTTCAGGACTTAAAGGGTTAAACTAATTGATAATCTTTCAAAGTAATTTTTATTGAGATTATTATTAATATTATATCCAGAAAATTAATCAATGTTGCCAGTATTTCAGTCAAATTGTATTCAACTTTACATAGAAGTTACTTATCATAATTTGACATTACTTATCTAACCACAAATTAAATGAGGTGGAATATTTGATGTGTTGTTACTGATTTGTGATGACTTAGTGACTCCAGGCGGCAATCAGGTTGGGTGTGGCTGTACCTGAACATCAGTCATAAGTATAACATTAAACCCAAACGAAACTGTACAATGATAGGAGTTAAAAGGCTTCCTGTAATGAGGCTAGCCAGGTTGAAGTGAAACAGGTCAACTACTACACAGCTTTGTCCAAACGAGCCAATTAAGAGATTTTTACACAAAAGATACAACAATTATGACAAAATAAATCAATGAAAAGAAGCTCTCACACAAACACCCTCATTCACCCTCATTCCATCAGCCTCATGAGTCTCTTGTCTTTTGAGTCTAGTCTTTAATCTGACTGACCTCTGACCTTTATTAGTGAGGTCATTAGAGTGTTTTTGTGTCCGGATTACTCGTATTAATCCAGTAAATTATTGCAAGAAGTTGAAAGAAAAGTGTCCGGCCATCATGAGCATAAACGAGACAGAGAAGGAAGGAAGGAAGGAAGGAAGGAAGGAAGGAAGGAAGGAAGGAAGGAAGGAAGGAAGGAAGGAAGAAATAAAGGAAGGAAGGAAGGAAGGAAGGAATGAAGGAAGGAAGGAAGGAAGAAATAAAGGAAGGAAGGAAGGCTAACTCAGGGACTCCCACACCAGAAGAAGAACCACGAACAACCTGAATTCAAGTTATGGTGTAAAAAAAAAGGTTGTAAATAATAATAAAAAAACTTGATCTGTCTTTAACAAGCTTGAAATTGATGGTCGTCTCCACCCAATGACTTAGAAGTACTTAGAGTATTGGGGTATATACAATTATAATCTTATACTTTACTGAGTTTCAATGTTGTGTTTGTTTGTTTTGCGTCATTTTTTAATTTATTTCCGTCGTGTGTGTGTGTGTGTGTGTGTGTGTGTGTGTGTGTGTGTGTGTGTGTGCAAGTGATTGTCTGTGCCATATTTCGTTGGTAGTTATCTTTTATTTTCTTCCTTTTCTTACTGTACGAATTCTCTTATTTATTACCCTTAGTTATTTTCTCATCTACTCTACACTTTTTTTCTCAATACCATAAACTTTTCACTCCATAAAGTGAGGCAGGAGACTCACCACCACGCCCTCCACCACGTTCCTCCACACGTCCTCCACCCCACCACGTCCCCCAATCCTACCAGCTGTCCCTACCACGTCCCCACCACGTCCCCCACCCCACCAAGTCCCCCACCCCACCACGTCCCCCACCCCACCACGTCCCCCCACCCCACCACGTCCCCCCACCACGTCTTCACAGGTCCTCACCCCCGCCACAAACAACAGTATCTCATAAACAGAAAACGTACAATCGTCTTGAAGGCAAAATATTCACGGGGAGAAAAAGAATTGTATTTTTAACACGAAGCGTCTGAGTGAGGGTCGCGTTATGCCCCAGACCAAACACACAAGGGATGACCCCCACACCTTATCATAACCTGACATTACTACATAGTTGACTTCAGTTTTCAATACATACTGGACATATACGAGTTAGGTTAGGTTTTGCATGAGGGTAAATACCAGTGTTTTGTGATTGACTAAGGTCACTACAATATGGCACAGTTCCTTAACATTATGAGAAAGTTTGTAAGACTCTGAGCGCCAATAAACAAAAATAATGGATGAATATATTTTAAGGTGATCGAGTTTCCGTATTTAGGTCACAACCTCTGTATATTATTTTTATTGGTTCACTATTTTGCTATTTTCATTGATTCATTGTGTGTGTGTGTGTGTGTGTGTGTGTGTGTGTGTGTGTGTGTGTCTCACAAGTCTCGACCTTCCTGCCCCATCACACCTAATAATAATAATAATAATAATAATAATAATAATAATAATAATAATAATAATAATAATAATAATAATAATAATAATAATAATAATAATATAAAAATAAATAAATAAATAAATAAACCACGCAAAAAAAAACATTAAAAAACAAATAAATAACTTAAAAATATTTCCAATCCATATAAATTTAGCGAGTGAAATAACGAGGAATTTTACGAGTCCAAAAGAAAAATTTGAGAAATCGTCAATTGTTTCGTCAGTGTTCAGCACTTGATGGATAATGGCCGCCACTACTACGTAACATTATCTCTCATTAACACACAGCGCTAACTCCCACGTGTAATATTTCTCACTGTATTTCTACCATGATGGATATTTCTTACTATATTAACCTAACCTAACCTAACCTAACCTAACCTAACCTAACCAAACCTAACCTAACCAAACCTAACCTAACCTAAACCTAACCTAATCATACTTTAAGAACAACTTTTTCTCTGACTAAATAACAAAAACAACAATATATTATCCATTACGTGTTTGAATAATCTATATACCAAGAACCCTCTATTTAACGGACTACAAAGATGAAAAATTCCGTTAAATCGAGGGTCCATTAGATGTAAAAACCTCCATTTAACGAACTATATAGATATGAAAATCCGTTACATCAAGAGTCCATTATATATGAAACCCTCCATCTAACGGATTATATGGAGAAAAAAATCCGTTATATGGAATTTTCACTATTTATTATATGTATATTCATTTGATATTCGCATATAATACAAAAAAATACTTGAGAATACATTATACAGATTTTAATATGAACCGCCGCTGTAAACACTTACTAAATGATCTAATATTCATATCCTGTAATTGACTTTTAACTGATATTAAAAAAGGTGGAAATTTCATAAACACTATTTGGAGTTTATTCCCATCACAAGTAAATAGAATATTATAGGTAGTTTTTATATAGTTGATCCTGTGTGTGTGTGTGTGTGTGTGTGTGTTTTTAATCTGCATACTAATGACCTTATTTGCATACTAAGGCACATCTTCCCAGGTATGAGTCGAGGTAGTTTATTTTGGTCAAGAGTCTTAAGCTATGATATTGTAAAGTAACGTATAAGATTTTTGGTTTTGACGTCCACAGTACATTTTGAGGGTAATTCATTCATAAACAGAGAGTTCTATCGCTCTTATTGTGTTAAATGTTACTAAAATAGTGTAATTGTTAACATTTTAGTCACTTAAAAACTTTGTTTGTTGAAGCGCAGTGATCACAATATTATAACAAGATTCTTCAGTAATTTTCTGCAGAACTAATGTTATTTTTAGACATATTTAGGTCACACACACACACACACACACACACACACACACAAACACCTGGGTGCATAAGATCGTCACTTTTGAATCATTTTTCTCGAATAATTGAAACATATCAGAAACACTCGCAAGTCAAAGCCCGGACTGATTTGGTTAGGTTAAGTTAGGTTAGGTTAGGTTAGGTTAGGTTAGGTTAGGTTAGGTTAGGTTAGGTTAGGTTAGGTTGGAGTTATGAGTTTTTAACATCCAATTACGTGTACTGAAGGACACGAATCATTCCTGAGAACTATATACAT